GCTTTTCTATCATGTATATGTGTGTGCATATATGTAATATATGAAATTAAATGAAAAATTTTAAGTCTGTATCTTTGTATATTACCTTATTTTATACATTTTATATGCAATCATAGTATCTTTTTTATATAACATGGTTACTTGTTTTTATATAGTTTATTTTTAATTGCTAAGAATCATAGTTTAAGCATTTTTAAAAATACGTTTTTATTGATTTCAGAGAGGAAAGGAGAGGGAGAAATAGTAACATTGATGAAAAGAGAGAATCATTGATCGGCTGCCTCCTGCATGCCCTACACTGGGGATTGAGCCCACAATCCAGGCATGTGCCCTGACTGGGAATTGAACCATGACCTCCTAGTTCATAGGTTGTTAGTTTATCTTAATATTTGACATTTATTTGTTTGTATCTATCTAGTCAAATATAGTAGCTTGACTCCCTTTTTAGAAAGAGGAGTTTTTTTCTCTTTGATAGAAATCTTATATTTTGTGATAAAATAATTCTTGCTCTAGAGCCAGTTTAAGAAGGAATACCAATTTCTCAACTTGATTTTTGAGAGCACCTTTTTGTTTTGTAGGTCTGGGACCTGCGTCAAAACAAGCTGACCTACACCATGAGAGGCCATGCAGATTCAGTGACTGGCCTGAGTTTAAGTTCTGAGGGTTCTTATCTTCTGTCCAATGCAATGGACAATACAGGTAACTTTGGAAAGGAAAGCATTCCAAATGCCTACAGAAAGTGGGCACTCGGTGTTAGAAATGTGTGCTGGGCCCAGCTGGCGTGGTTCAGTGGTTGAGCGTCAACTATGAACCAGGTTCAGTTCCTGGTCAGGGCACCTGCCTGGGTTCTGGCTCCATCCCCAGTGTGAGACATGCAGGAGGCAGCCAATCCATGATTCTCTCTCATCATTGATGTTTTTATCTCTCCCTCTCTCTTCCTCTCTGAAATCAATAAAAACATTTTTTTTAAATGTGTGCTAGGATAAATAAGGATCCAAGGATAGAGTCAGGATCGCTCACAGACTTTCACCAGAGCAATTAGGAGAACACGTAATTGTTCCCAAATCTGCCACCCAATCCCTGAGCAACTTTGCACATAACACTTCTCTCAGCATCAGTTTCTACACTGATAAAGAAGAGGACTGGACTTTGCTTCTAAGGCCCATTTTAGCTGTGGTGTGCTGTGAATCCAAGGCTATATGGGTTCAAGCAAGATACAAGAAACTTTTGATCTGTTTTTTGAAAAAGATGAGAGTTCTCAGGCATTTTCAGAGAGCACCAACTTGGATGATCGAAAGACCTATTGAACCTCAGCTGTGCTCCGGCCATTGTCTTCCTTCCCCGCTCCAAAGCGTTGTTGTGACAAGAGACCCTCATGAAAACATCTCAGCATCCTGAGTTTACGCACACTCTCGTCTTTGCTTGTTTTTGAGTTGTTGGGTAGGAGGATGGTGTAGCAGAAAAGGAGGATGACTTGTTGGATTATATGCTTAATATTTTTGGAAATACCCCTTTGGTACACAAGTTCATAGGCTTTTTGGGAGGTGGTGTTTTCACTGACATTTTGTAATGAAAACGGTGCCAGCACTCAATGTGTGCTCAATAAATATTTGTTGAGTGCGTGAACATTCTTTACCTTCTGACTGTATTGTCAGCTCTGTAGCACACTTTTATGCATAGCTTTGGCTTTTTATGCCTCTCTGACTTGAAGATGCTTTTTTTCACACTGCTCACTGTGGGTATTTATACATATATTCTGGTTTCAATGGATTTACCATAGACTGAATCTAGCATTGTTTACAGTAAGGAAAGATGAGATTCCCTAAATGGTTATTAAATTTAAGAAGAAGAGGAATTTCTTGTTATGGCTATATACTAAAATTATAAATTCTTCATTTTTGTTTATTGCCTCCAATCTTTTAGAGCCCTTTCACATATATCATCATATTTGATCTTTAAAATACTCTTGCTAATACCTTTTTACAGAAGAGACCAAAACACAAAGAACCTTGCTATTTATCTGATACCACCCATATATATGGTATAGCTAAAAATTAGAATCAAAGTTCACTTTCTGATTCTTGGTACAGTGCTCTTTTAATATATATTTGACCTTGTTCAAGTTTAGACTATCAGGTGCCCCTCTGAGCAAATTTATAAAAGGTTAGTCCTGAGTTTGATTTTTATAGATTAAATGTCACAGTAGTCAATGATGGTTAGGTTGTCATATCAAAGCTTTGCTAAATGTGACTCTTTGGGTTGGCAGAGGAATCATTTCCAAAATGTTCTGTTGAAATCATTGTCACACCCAAGTATTCTCTGTTGCAAATCCCCAGCAGTGTGTTTGACATTTCTCCTTCCTGCCCCCTCAGCTTTCCTCTGTGCCCATAGGCCCAGTTAATGGGACTTGAATGTATTTTATTCCTCTTAGCAAAAGGAAAGAGCTTACCAGGTAGCATTGTTCCATGTTAACCTCCTCCCCCCAGGAAATAGCATCTGTCGATTTCAGCTGGGTGCTCAAGGGGCCTCTGGCTGATAACTGTTTTATTTTACCTTTTATTTTCATACGAAAATAGCTTTTAAGCAAAATGCAAAAATAACTTTTGACACTGAATGAAGAGAGACCTGAGTATATTTTTTTTCTTTGTAACTATAGATTTTAATGGTTTATAGATTCAACTTGGCTGACAACTGTTTTGCTTGGTTTATTTGAATTTGTAGTGCGGGTCTGGGATGTCCGGCCATTTGCTCCCAAAGAGAGATGTGTCAAGATATTTCAAGGAAATGTGCACAACTTTGAAAAGGTGAGTTCTGCATAGCAAAGGAGTTCTGTCCTTTTGATTCAAAGAAACATTTACGATTGTGCTAAGGTGCAGTATCTACATATATCAAATCAATACATTGTACACCTAATACAACGTTATGTCAGTTTTATCTCAATTTAAATTTTAAAAGAGGCTAGAGATCAGTAGCTCTACTAAGGGGCTGCATTCCAGTAACACTGTTCTCCATTAAAACTGTCCTTGCTGGAAATACAACTAGTAGAAGGATAGGGTAGAAGGCAATCACATAGATAAGTGGTGATGGCACCAACCCTCCAATTTAGGATTTCCAACTTCAACAAGACACTCCTATCCTTTTAATTCCTTAGTAACTTTAACCCTCTTAGGTTAGTGTTCCAAATGGGATCCAGGCTCCCATGGCTATTTCCCAGACAACCTCCGTCACCTCCCAGTGACAGCTGTTAGAGCCCTGAGAATACATCTCTATCTGCGGTAAGCACTGTGGCCCAAGTTCTGAGAGACGGAAATGTTTTCTAAACTCGCAAAGTCCAGGTCAGCTCTTGAAAGCAGCTTTTCCCCAAAATAATTTGATAATAGAGACTAATGGTTTTCTTTTGAGATCCCGTTAAGAGTGTTTGACTTTGTGAATGAAGTTTTATTTTTTTGTTGGATTTGGTTTTCTTTTCCTTCAAGATAAGGTTTTTAACGAGGATCAAGGTAAATGGAGCAAAAGGAGCCTCCATGTGTAGGTCGAACAAAATTCTGTTGCCAGGTTCATTCTGATTTACTATAAATTAAGCATTTTCTAAAGTTGGTTTTTATATGGTATGAAATGATGCCAGTATGCTGTCTTGGGCCACAGAATATAAAATAATTGCTGATCATCTTTCTGGGGGAGAATAATTAAAACTCCAGAAATTTTAAAGTCTCTCAGTGATTCTGTAGTCTAACAAAGAGGGGTTTGGTACATTACTATCTTCATTGGATTCCTGCTTATTCATCATTGTAGAATCTTCTGAGATGTTCTTGGTCACCTGATGGAAGCAAGATAGCAGCTGGCTCAGCTGACAGGTAAGGATTACCGGGAGTGTGGCAAAGAATGATAGAGCTGCCCAGCTGGTGTGGCTCAGTGGTTGAGTGTCAACCCATGCACCAAGAGGTGGCTGATTCCTGGTTAGGGCAGATGCCCAGGTTGTAGGATCGATCCCCAGTGTGCAGGAGGCAGCCAATCCATGTTGATGTTTCTCTCTTATCCATGTTTCTTTCTCTTTCTCTCCCTCTCCCTTCATCTCTCTCTAAAATCAATAAAAACATAAAAAAGAATAAAATAATGATGCTGGTATCTTTACATGTTTAATACATGTAATCACCTCTCTGTTATGTCTATAAACTTTTCTCGGTCCTCTCTCTCCCTTACCTCTTGGGCATAACAAATTCCTCTTTGTTTTGTGCTATTATCACACTTTGTACACCTAACCTTTATTAGCATTTATTGCATCTTATAGTAACTAGGGCACCCCAGTACATTATTTGCTCCTAGAGGTCAGAGAATGAATCTTAGTCATCTCTGAACCCAGGGCAGTGTTTGACCTATTCTAAGCATTAGTAATATATGAATGAATTCCTAGCCTAAGGTTGGCAAACGACGAAGCCTTTCCTGGGCTGAATTGGGTTTTAAGCTTTTCCGGTTTCTTTTTTTTGGCCGAAGCAAAGCAGAGGAAAAACCTCATTTTGGTCCTACACCTTTATATTTGTGAACATACCTGAAGATTCCAGAGTTTGCTTTTTTTTCTGGCAAGTTTAATGCAAGGAAAAATGAACAAACAAGTATTCAGCTATTTCCTGGGGAGGAAAGGGCTCCTGGTGGCTTCGAGAACTGCCTTAAAGAGAGAATCTAAGAGGTTTTCAGTTGTCAGGTTGCTAAAGATCTTAAACAGATCTACAACATGAGATGTATCTTGCATTCTGACAGAGGAAGAACCATTCTAAGTATTTTTACATTATTTTTAGCAGAGATTTTGGATCTTTCCTCTGTACTTAAGCTTTTAAATGATATTTGCCTAAGCTTTTCTTCTGATCGGTTTGTTTCTGACATTCATTGGCCCTGACTTTCAATGTCCTCTCTCCCCACTGTTCCTTTAAACCTTCCATGTGGAAGTGTGGCTCTGGTCTGGGGAAAGGCTGCTTGTCTACCTGCTGGGTTGGCCGGATTTCACAGGCCTCCTCGCCAATTAGCCCGGAGTCAGCAAGCAGCTCTGTTACATAAAGAGCCTGGTTCCTGCCGAACATTGCCATGCCAAAGCAACGAGAGGACATGGAACCCCTCTAAATTTAGCATCTAATTGGCAGCCATGGGGAGTGAGGCCTTGAAGTAAACCTTTGGAGATCTGGGGTTCTGCTGGCCTATAAGTACCTGGGAAATGTAACTTTCCTCAGAAAACTGCTTTTCAGCTTGGCCTAGATTTGGCAAATTTCCCCTTTCTACTTACCAATCACCTCCCTCCTCATGTTCAGACTTGAAACCCTTCAAAATTCCCATCAGACTATGGGAAGACTGGCCAGTCTTTCCACTATGAGCGATTTATTTAACCTCTTGATTTCATATGATTGTATGTTGATAATTGATGACGATTGTGTTTGTCATAGCAATAGCTGTCATTAATTTTGTGTGCCAGGCATTTTGCATACATTATCTTATTCTCTCAACCACTATTATGTGAGACCAATATTATCTCCATACAACTAAGGCAGCGGTTCTTAAACCTGTGGGTCGCGACCCCTTTGGCGGTCAAATGACCCTTTCACAGGGGTTGCCTAAGACCATCCTGCATATCAGATATTTACATTACGATTCATAGCAGTAGCAACATTACAGTTATGAAGTAGCAACGAAAATAATTTTATGGTTGGGTCACAACATGAGGAACTGTATTTAAAGGGCCAGAAGGTTGAGAACCACT